TTTTTGTTTTTCAAGACAGGGTTCCTCTGTGTAGCTTTGTAGACCAGGCTGGGATCTAGAACTCACAGAGATCCCGAGTGCTGGATTAAAGGCCTGACTTAATACTCTGATCTTAAAAGAGTATACTTGGTGAGTTTGAGGCCAGCCTGGTCTACAGAGGTAGTTCCAGGACAGCCAGAACTGTTACACAGAGAAAACCTGTCTTGCAACAAAAACAAAAACAAAAGGAAAGAAAGGAAAACAAGAAGGAAAAAAAAAAAAAAAAAAAAAGAGAGTGCACTTGATAAAATAAGAACCTGGAAAATAACCTTTTAGCTTCTCTGAACCCTGTTTTATTTTCTTTGTGGGACATGGTCTTGCTATGTAACCAGATCAGTTTTGCAGGTTTATCTTGAATTCATGGGATTTCCTACCTTGGCTTTCCCAGTGATGGAATCATAAAAGTGTGCCATGATTCACAGCTCCTTGATTTTCCCTTAGGTTAAATGTCTGTAGGGATGCGTTATCATTTTCCTCTTCTCAGCTTTTAAGCTTTTCTTTTCTTTGAGACGAGTTTTCTATGTGTTTAGTCCTGACTGTCCTGGAACTAGGCTGGCCTCAAACTCACAGAGATCCACCTGCCTCTGCCTCCAAGGTGTTGGGATTAAAGGTATGCACCACAATACCCAGCTCTTTTCTTTCTCTTGAGACAAGGGTTTATTACATAGTCCCAACTAGCCTAAAATTCCCAGATCCATTTACCTGTCTCCCAAGTGTTGGGATTAAAGATGTGAACTACCATGCCAGGCAACAGTTAAAAAAAAAAAAAAAGTAATACTGAAAACTATTAGGTTCTTATAATTTATTTAGCAATCTAATAAGTTCACAGTTATGAACAGTCCTGGTGCATTTGAGAATTCTGGAATCTTGGTGCTGTTAATATGGCAGACCTTTTAAGTAAAACTTTTAAGTAAAAAAAATACATGGGTACTTGAGATAGCATGTGTGAAGGGATCTCTCTAAAACTGACCTCATTGGTTTTATTCTCAACAACCCACCTAGCCCATTCAGCATGGCCTTTATTGGTCCTGATGTAAGAGTATGTTCCCTTTTTTACAATAGATATATGTATATGCAAGACCACCAGACAGTGTTAATTTGTCACATATGATGTTAGGGCCTTCACAGTCACCATGGGCTGTGTCCTCTCCATCTGTAACATTCTTATAAAATTCTTTGATCCCACAGGAACTTTAGTAGTTTCTTGGTAAGGTGAAGACTCCAGTTCTTTAGCTTTACATTTTTTAATCTATGTTTCTCAGTTTATTTCCTCAATATGTCATTGCTTAAATTAAAACAAGAACTTTAATTGATACTATCCCATTGGTTCCCATTGTTTTCTCCAAATCACCTTTCCGATTGTTTGCTTTCCCTGGATATCACACAAAAGTTCTTGTTCATGATACACAAGGGCTCTACCACTGAGCTACATGTCCAGCCTCCTGTAGTTCTTTTGACCTTTCCCTCCTATGCATCTTGTAAATAGCAATACTAATTCATGGGCCAGTAAGATGACTCAGTAGACAGAAGTTATTGCCAAGCCTGACAGTCTGAGGTCAATCCCTAACTCTCACATGGTGAAAGGAGAGAACTGATTCCCAAAAGTTGTTCCTTAACCTGCACACACACTAAACAAGTCTAATTACAAGTAAAAGTACTAGTTCATAAAACTTATGGAGGACTTCCAAAGAATTGCTGATCACTTATAAATACTGTCTCATTGATTATCACAACAGCTTAGGCTTCTCAATATTTATCTTTAACCTACTTTGGGAAGGGACTTGAAGCCAGAGTTCAATTAATTAATTGCCCAGATAGCAACTGTGGGGCTAGGTCCTTTGATTCCAAAGCCTATACTCTACTTACAACATTAAGTCCCTATCTGCCCAACCAGGTTTTATAAGCTCTCTCAAAAACCAAAATTATATAACAAGGGAGCAGGACCTTCGGGGTTTAGGATTAGTTTTATGGAAAAAGTATATTCTTTTATAAAGCCATTGATAATGTATTTTTGATTATAACCTCTCTCTCTCTTTCTCGTTTCTTTTGGCTTCTCGAGACAGGGTTTCTCTGTATTGTTTTGGAGCCTGTCCTGGCACATGCTCTGTAGACCAGGCTAGCATCAAACTCACAGAGATCCTCCTGCCTCTGCCTCCCTAGTGATGGGATTAAAGGTGTCAACCTCTCTTAGGCCCTCCTGCTGAATCCTTTCTTTGTAACAAGTCCCTCTCCTACTTTCCTGCCTTTATTTTGTTTTGGTGCCCAACTGCCTTTAATTATTAGTGTTGCTTCTGGTGGGAATGATTGGTAGAATTTTTTTTTTTTCTTTTTTTCTGAGACATGGTTTCTCTGTAGCTTTGGAGGCTGTCCTGGAACTCACATGTAGACCAGGCTGGCCTTGAACTCACAGAGGTTCACCTGCCTCTGCCTCAAGTACTGGGATTAAAGGTACCCGCCACCACCACAAGGCCACCTGAGGGATTTCTTTTTAAATGTATTATTTAGTTTTTCACTTGAGACAGAGTCTCACTATTTATCCTTGGCTGGCTTGGCAAGTTGGCCTCGAGTGCACACCTTTCCTGCACCAGCACAGCACACCTATCTTTCTTTCTTTCTTTTTTTTTTTTTGGTGCTGGAGATCTAACTCTGGGCCTCATGCACATTAATTAGACAAGCACTGAACTTCTCTTAGCTCCATCCGTGACCCTGAAAAACCAGATTGTTCTAATATTTTTTTTTAATGGAGAAAACAATAAGTGAAATAAGAAAAATGGGCTGGAAATTGAAGCACTTACCTCCAGCACTGGGGTAGAGGGTGAGGTCTGAGGTAAACACTGTCTAACTATGTCGTCATAGTAACCCTATGAGGGAGGTTATGAGGTGGGTATTAGCTTTCTTGTACAGACTGGGAAATGAGGCTTGACTTGCCCAAGGCCACACTACAATTAAGTTGTCAAGTGTCAAAGATAAAACTCAGGAGACCTGTCTCCCAGGTTTCTATTGAGAACGTATCACTCTGTTTCCCACCACATTCCATAGTGCATACCCTTATGAATTCTCATCGGACGCATACCTGCAATCCAAACGCCAGGAGGGAAAGACAAGCACAGGCATTAGAGCATACACAGCCACATAGGTAAGGTTTGAGGTCAGCACAGGGTGAATGAGACCCTGCCTCAAACAAAACAAAACAAACAAACAAAAAACCCTCCAGGTTCTAAACCAGATTCTTCCCATTTCTCTAGCTCACCTTTTCAAACTATCTCCCTGAACACTGTTATCAGCAGAATGTTTCAAGAACTTCCCCCACCCCACCCCCTTTCTTTTTTTTTTTTTTTTTTTTTTTTTTTTTTTGGTGCTGAATATAAAACCCGGGACCAGATTCCTGAAAACTAAAAATTGTATCACTGAATAGCCTAGCCTTACACTAATAATCCTAAAACATAGCTGTTTTAAGTTCCAACCACCCCAATGAGCTGAAGAGCTTTTCCCTTCTATTCTTTTATCGGATATAAAAGGCAAATTATTGCAGTACTTGTCGGTGGATTTTAAACTGGATCCCACTAACATGATTTTTAAACTGGATCCCACTAACATAATGAACTCTTACTGAAAGGAGGCAAAGGGTAGGTGACAGCAAACAGGGCCTTCTTTTCAATCTCTGTTCATACACAAAAGAGAAGCTATAGGGCCTAGTTCAGAGAGCTAGGAAACCTGAGTGTAGGTGAGCAGAGGCTGGAGGATAAATGAGGAGGGCAGGGTTCAGGTATGCAGTAAGAGTCTAGGAAGACTGCAGGCCGGCTCTTTAAAATTTTTTCTCACCGGGTGTGGTGGCACACACATTTAATGCCAGCACTCGGGAGGCAGAGGCAGGAGGCTCTCTTGAGTTCGAGGCCAGCCTGGTCCACAGAGAAACCCACCCCTCCCCCCTCAAAAAAATACTAATTTACCACTTCAACAGATTTTGGTGTCTGGGGTTAATTAAGAACTAAAAGTGGCTCTTGTGACACATCAGGTTATGTAATTTTTATTTTAAATGCTGGCCACTTCCTAGCTTGGCGACTTCTGCCAGTTAACCTAGTGAAGCCCAGGGTTCCTTATTTACAGAATTTTCTTAGTTAGAGCCTACCTCATCAGGTTTTGAGGATCATACAAGTGAATTCCGGTGCAGTGTTTAGTATGCACCGGTCCCAACTCCACTAGCTATAATTCCATCCCGTCCCCAAAATTCAAAGTGTTCATAAAAAGCCTGGCCTGAGAGCATTCTCACATCTACGTTTCCAACGTGCACACCCTCTGCCCCAAGGCGAGTCTCTTCTGACCAGGGGCCCTTAAACTCAGCGTTCATCAAATGCCACAAGTCAGGCTCTGTGACGAGACACTTGCGTAAAATTGCACATTAAACTTCCTAACGCCTCCACAGTTGCTGATTTAGCGCGAGGAAACAGGCCCGGAGCGTTCCAGCAACTTCCCCGGGTCTCCGAGCTCAGGTTCCAGGCCCACTTTGGAGTCCACCAGCGTCGGAGCTGCAGCCGTCCATTCAAACGCTGCCCAGTCCCTCGACTCCGCCTGTCCATCATCCTCCGCACCTCAGGGTCGGCCTCAGGGCAGCTTTTCCCTTTCCTCCGGCAGAGCCTGAGGGGTGAGGCCCGCGATGGCGTCCCGGGCACGCGCGACATGCAGCTACCCTTTGGAGCGCTGAAACGTGCCCGGGGCTGTGCGGCGGGGTCTCCCGGCCCCGGCGCCGGGTCACGTGGCGGGGAGGGGGGCGCCGGCGCGCGCGCGGGTGGGGGGAGCGGGCACGCGCAGCCGACAGCTTGTGGAGGCGCGAGATGCAGAGCAGGGTGTATGTATGGCAGGGAGGGGGCGGCGGCCGGGAAGGCCGGCTCCACCCCCTGTGCGCATGCTCCGGCCCCCGCGGGTTATAAGGCAGCCGCGCCTGCCCCGCCAGACAAAGTGGCGAGCTGCGACGTGACTGCTCGGCGGTGTGGCTGCTGCAGCCAACGAACCCGGCGGCGGCAAGGGACGCGAGCGGGACCCCGGGCTCCGAGGAACTGCGGCCCGCGCCGCCGCGTCACGCACACTCCGGGCGCCGCGAGACACACATAACGGTTAGTCAGGGCTGAGCGGGCAGCGCGCCGCGCGGAGTCTGCGGTGCCCTTGGTGCCTTGGTGGGGTCGCGGAGTTCGGCGGGCACGCGGAGACTTTGGTCCCCGGGCCAGGGGGCGACCCGGCAGAGGGCATCCTGGGCGCGCGGAGCCGCATGGCCCCGGAACGTGGCGTGCGTGGGTGAAGGGGACCTTAAGGCGCTGGGTACAGTGTCTTTCCCCGGCCGAACCGCGCGGGCCGGTGGTCAGGTGTGGCCGCCGGGCTGCGGGAGTCGGGTCATGGTGCCCGGTGACCTTGTGAGAGACGCTTCCAGTCCAGTCTGCAGTAGCCGCCTGGAGAGATGCTTAGGTCGGAAGAGGGGCGACCTGAGGCCGGTTCACGTGGTGCACTCCTGCCGCCTTCTGCTCGGAGGGAAGGGACTGGGGCGGGAGTCATTTAGGACTCGTGGCATGTCCGCCCAGCCTCCCCCGCCTGCCAATCGGTGTCCCACCTGGTGACTTGCTAGAGTGGTGTGAGGAGCTGCGTTGCCGACCGCCCTAACAAGACTGCCGGGTTCGAGTGAACTTTGAGGAAGGGGAGAGAGGTGGGATAAGGGGCTCTTTGTGGTCCAACCTGTGGCTTCCGTGCGTGTGCCGGCGGGCACGGGGGTCTCAAGGCATCCCCGAAGAGAAGACGGAAATAGCGTTACATTTGGTTGGATGCTCGCTTTCTGGGCCAAGTACATCCTTTTTCTGAGTGCATTTTAGCCATTCTTTATGGTGGCGTATTTGGTGCTGCGAAAATTAGTTTTTGATCGCTCAACCAGGAAACGCACGTGTTACTACTTCAGTCTTTTCCCGTTTTCTAGTAGCTCATTGTAAGCCGGGCGTCTCCTGATAGTAGTTACACAGTGGCAAGGTACTTTTTTTTAACTAGCCATAACTAATTTTTAAATCTTCAGGCATTACTCGACATAGACTGAAGGTGTGTAGCTCAGTGGTGTAGAGTACCTGCCTGGCCTACCATGCCTGAGGCCCCAAAGTTTGATCGCCAGCTTTGAAAGAAAAAAATATTCTGGTTTTGTAACAAAATGAGTACATGCTGACGTGTGAGATTAGTAATTGTCTGAGAGTTTGGACAAGGGTGGATAGGAACTAAATCAAGCAGGGTTGGTTTCTTCCTTTCTTTTCATTTCAGCTGCCAACTATTCAAGGTAAGAGAGAGACTATCTCATTTTTGCCTACTTATTTTAGTTGCTAAATGGTGCTCTTAAGTCCAAGTTTTTGGCGGTGTATGTGCAAGATAGGTCTAGGCCAACTTTTATCTTCCAGTTGCCATAAGAAATGACCAATACTCCAAGACATTCAGATTATTTATCTGCTTATTTTTGCTGTGTGGGGTAGGGGTGGGGTTAAAGACAGGGTTTCTCTGTGTCTCTGGCTTGTGCTGCCATGCCCAGGATTAATTTATTTTTAATTTGAATATCTCAGTAATTTCATTGTGGGTTTAAGTAGGTACTGTTGGTTTATCAAATTGTACTGACCTTGTTACATATGCAAGTTCTTAGTTTGAGGAGCATTTTGAGTGTTTTAAAGATTTAGCTGAAGATTTACATAATCCTAAACACTTTAAAAGGTGTGTGTGTGTGTGTATGTGTGTGGATACCCATAAACTTAGGCAAAAAAATAGTAGTAGATTAGTATCTTTCCAACTTCTTAAGCCCTTCATTCCCATTGCGATACAGTTTACTTCCTATTATGAATTTGTATTCCATTTAAGGTCCAGATCTCTGTATGTCTAATTGACTGTTGCCCGTGAAGACTGGGAATATAAACTTGAACACAAGGAAAACTGAAAATTGTCAATTGAGGAATTTAGGATTCAGCAGTGAATGGATTCTTACCCCTGGAGTTTGTAGTCTAGCTGGCAAGCAGGTATAGTTAAATACTCAGCTTGAGTTTTAGGGCAAGTTACCATGGGAACAAATACTGTATTGTGTGAGTGGGAGAAGATACTCAATTTAAGGGAACGATGGATATGTCTCTCTGAGGAAATACTATCTGAGGTTTGACCAAGGAGTGGGAGCTAGGTGTGCATAGGTGGTGATAGGTTGAAAGGGCATTTCAGACACTGCTGGGGGCAATGCAGAAACTGAAAGAATTTCACCAAAATCTATAGCCGAAAGAGGTCAGAGAGAATGGGAGGGAAAGAGGTGTCAGCTCAGGGAGGGCCTTCAGTCCTTTTAGGACGAAGGCTGAGCAAGCTGCAATCGTAATTTGAAGTTGTTTGAAAGCTTTTTAGGGATGTGACTAAGCAGATCTGTGTTTTGAGAGTATTATTCTGGGCATCCTGGAAAGAGGAGGGCTAGAGGGGGTTTCTTAGGGTGTTACCATATGGGAATGAATACCTAGTGTGAATCCTCAAAAGGGAAACAGATAGGTTTTGGGTAGGGGCTATGTGGTGGAGACAGATGCCAGAGTGGAGTTCAGGATGTGGCTCAGGTTGCTACTGGAGCAAATATAAGGTTTATTTTCACTTTAACCAATGGGAATGCTGAGGTAGTGTGACTACACCAGAACTGCCCAACTTTTAAAACTCATGGATAAAATTCAAAGCTACTTCTGCCCACTTGGTGAAGCTGAAACTTTTTTCCTCTGCCCTTCTCTACAGTTGAGTATGGAAATTTTAATTCACAAGTTGAACTACTAGTGCTTAATTGTTATTCCTACCTACTTTCCCCAGCTTCTGCTTGATTGTTGTGAAGCAAATCCTAGATGAAATTATTTCAGCTCTAAATATTTTGGTACATAGTTCTAAAAGAGAAGTTTATTTTATGTATTTGTCATTATTGGTTTTTCAGGACTGGCTTTCTCTATGTAGCCCTGGCTGTCTTAGAACTTGCTCTGTAGAGATCAGGCTGGCCTAGAACTCAAAACAAATCCTCCTGCCTCTGCCTCCAGAATGCTGGGATTAAAGGCATGTGCCACCACCACCTGGCATGAAAGATTTTTTTTTTAATTTATTAAATTATTAATTTGAGATCTAGGTTCTCATGTATCTCATGCTGGTCTGGAACTCAACAATATATCAAAGGTGACCTTGAACTCCTGATCCTTTTGCCTCTCTGGGATTATAGGTTTGCACTGCCACACCCAGTTTATGCAATGCTTTGGATCAACCCCAACTTATAGTCACAGCTATCTGGAAGATAGTCTTCAGAAATCCATAATCACATTATCCTACCTTTAAAAATTAACATTATCAAATACCCATCAACATTCATATTTTCCCAAGTTGAATAATTGGTTCCCTTGAATACAAGCAAGGTGTGTTATAGGTTCTGAAATCTATAGGTTCTTCATCTAGAGAACTTATTTGAAGGAAACAGGGTTTTTTTCTTCTAGTTTTCCCCATGTGGGATTTTGGTGAATTATATTCATGGCATAGTTTTAACATGTCCTAGTTTTGCATATCCTGCTGTCCTTCATATTTTCTCTATTTTGGAAGCTCATCTGAAGACTTGAACAGTCAGGGTTTTACTTCTGAGTAAAGGTTTGGGCAACTTCAGTAAATTTCACATTTGCTATTTCTATTTGGAGACTGATGGGGTTTTCCTCTTTCAGCTATATTCACAACCTATTCTATCATTTCACTATGGTTTGAAAAGGCAGTCATTGAATTGCACTTTGTTTTTACCATTCCTCCTTAATTTATTAACCAGAACACCTTTACTAAAGGTGTAGTCTGAAGGAAGGGGCATTAAAGCACAGTGAGGTAAGGTCCCACTGTGCAGCATATATGTGTGTTGGAGACCCCCTCTTAAAGCCTTTATCCCAGCACTCAGAAGATAGAGGCAGGCTGATCTGTGAGTTTGAAGTCAGCATGGTCTTCATAGTGAGAATCAGGACAGCCAGGGCTACACACAGAGACCCTATCTCCAAATTGGAAAACAAATTGGGGTGGGGCATACTTCCAATCTTAATGCTGGAGAGTTAGAAACTTAAGATCCTTTAGACTCTCTCTTCAAGCTTGCCTAACCTGAGCAAGCTCTAGGCATAGTGAGAGACCTTGTCTCAGAAACCATGCAGACCTGACTTCCACAGGTACAAGCACCTCCATGCATGTGTAAACACACACATTTTCATGGTTTCCCACTTCCTACCATATTAATTTGTCTGGATAGAATTAACCTTTCTGAGTCAGGGTTTACTCTGCAGCACAGTCTGGCATCTGGAACTCCACCTGCCTCTGTATTCTAAGGGCTGGATCAAAGGTGTACACGACCATGCTTGGCAAATTAAATCATCTTAAGCATATTGTTCTAACTAGCCTTTCAGGGTTCTGTATGCTCTTTATCTAACAAAGTGGCATTTTCATCCCTGTAATTTCATTCCCCCCCCCTTGGGGGGAATGGTGGAGGGTCATGGATCTTTCAGTAGATCTGTATTGTAGAGTGTGAGCCCTGGAATCATGCAAAGCTCAGTGTTCACATGGTCACAAAATGAGCTCACCTTCACCACAGTAACAAGGGCTTCAAAGGCTGAGCCTTTGAAGGGTAACACTGACCATAAATAGACATGCAGGATCGGTTCTGTTTATTTTACACTACCCTAATTAAAACCCATAATACTCTATTTGATTTGACAGATTTAGCATTTGCAGAGAAAAGAACTTAAAAATGTTCTGGTATTCTAAGTTGTATAACTGATGGTTGAAAAAATAAGTCTTTTCCATTGTTCTGTTTTACCTATATAAATCCTCTAGGGGTGCATTTTGTGTGGGTTTTGGATGCTGAGGGTGTATTGCTTACTTTGCTCATAGTTGTGACCAGATTTTGCTCATAGTTGTGACCAGATACCTGGCAAGAAGCAACTTAAGGGAAGATAGATTTTTCAGCTCAGGTTTTGTGTATTACATCATGGGTGGGGAAGGCATGGCAGCTAGGAACCGTGGCAGCAACTCACATCTGGGCCAATCAGGAAGGGTGTTACAGTCCTCTAGGCCTGCCCCCTAAAAACCCACT